AAAAAAAAAGAAAAGAAAAAAATTCCAGCTACCAAGATAGGGTAAAGTAGTTAACAAAATACATGGAAATCTGCAAGAAACTGGGATACAGAATCTACAGAGACAAGGACCTTCCTCTAGAGCTAACAGAAAAAAATGAGAAGAGGTGGCACAGTGACTGCCAGAGCAGGCTTGAGCACACTGAGACTGTGTGGGTAAAGTAGGACCAGGCAAGGTTTTGTTTGCTTAGGATAGAGCAGGGTTCAGAGCTATTGTATATAGGGCCACTATAAGTCAAAGCAACTAGACAGCACTTAACTACATTTTGGTCTATGGGAAATGAGGGACTTCTCATAATGCCCGCTTCTTGCCTCTATGTATGGGCTCATAAACATCTGAAAAGAACATTTTCTCTTTGTAAACGGTAATGAGTGAACTCTATAGGGTTAGGGACCGTCCATGAGGCTGGCTGCACAGCTGTGGATATGAATACATATGAAAATGAAGTAATTTTCATTTGTCTCCAAGGACTTTCAGACTCATGAATGAATTTCCAGAAAATAATATGCACATCAAAAGCACTTGATTCCTTTGTCTGAAACTCTCTTCCGGAAAAGACTTTAATGATGAAACAGTTTCTAGATGGGAACGAATGTCTCCAAGGAAGGGGAGAAATAGTGAAATATATACAATTCTAATGTTCTAAGGATTATTTTACATTCAACCACTTTAGTCACACATGATTTAACCCACTTCCTTGTGACAGCTTCAATGTTCTTGTTAAAATATGTTCAAGTGAATTATGTAAATGGTCTATTTTGAAATGTATTTCACGGAATAGAGGAAAGCAGATATCTGAAATTTATCTGGTGTTCTAACATCTGACCCACATTTGTTAAATGCCACCCACGCCAAAGTGCTGTGCTGTCGAATCAAAGATGAAGACCAGCAAAAAAAGTGGGAATTCCAGATGAAATATACTCACAGTAGTAAAACTTCAAGCTCAGATAAAAACCTCTTCCACTGTTTCTTACACTGCATTTTTTTCTCCTAAATATCATATAGAAAGACAAGGAGAAAAAATTTAGAAAAAGAAAATTTCCATTTCTGGAATCCTTAGCCTAGGGTCCATAATTTGCCTGAAATCATATGCACATTTAATGTATATTCATTTCAACATTTTCCTAGTACAAGGATGCTTAGTTTTCATCAGATTGTCAAAAATCTACTTATGCCCAAACAGATTTGGAACCACTGCTATTGAATGTAAAATCTGACATATAATTTACCACATTGCCAGATTTTATTTTTAAGCTCCCACCATATATTGAAAACATTTACATAAATTCAGAAATATTAGATGTATTCAAAGAAAAGTCATGACAGAAACTCCTAATTGAATTCCATACTCCTCATTAAATTCAAACTCCTCATGGAGTTCAATTCACCTTAAAGAGTTAGACTCACAATGACTGCATGTACATTAGAAATGACAACCTCTATGAGGTTTGCCATTGCTGCAGAGTTTCACTGGTTTGGCATAAGGGGGTCATTTGGATACACAGGCTCATGTTTACTCATGTATTCATTTTAGAAAGATAGATTTATGATACAAATGAAAAATGTATCCCCTTATTTCAAGAAAAGTAATTCTGGTGACATAGCCATAGGGAGCTATAGTTCTCACTCAAAGGTAGCCTTTCTGGAGGTTCAAATCCACCAGGGTCTCCTAGGGA